GAAGCCATACAAGCCCCCCCAACGACACAATCAGCCAATGTGTGGGCACTACTCAGTCTCGGCCGGGTGTTTGTTAGAGCTATGCGTTACAGTACATGCCAGCCACCGAGAAAGTGCATTTTGCAGTCCGAATTTTTTGCCACCCATTGTTGGCCCATTATGGTCAATTCTTGTGTTCTGGGAGTGCGACCAGCGATGTCACACAACCAAGCCGATGCACATGGACTGGTCTGCTGGCTTGGAGGCTATCCTTGTTCAAAATAAATTTAACCAGAAAGTCCATAGTCCGTGGAACTGGAGCTATTTAAGTTTTGCGGTTTTTGAGGAACATTTGTGAATTCGGCTCTTCTGCGCGCGCAAAGCACCTCACAGAGCGGTCATGTGCTGGGAATCGGTTCGGAGACAAGACCGTTGGCACGGCCGTTTGCGTTGCCATCCAATTGTGAATCCTCGACGGGCTTTCAGGGGGGCCAACCTTCGGAACTCTCGAGTTGTTTTTCACTTTGCTACGCGTTTTGTTTTGATTGTTTTTTTCTCGATTTGTAGTTTGATGTAATTTGCTCAACCATCAAACGGCGAGGCACCCTCAAAAGCTCCATGCGGTTCATTGGCTGGGTAACTATATAACAAGCTAACTATCGCAAAAGGAGCTGTTATTTGTTGTTAGCAAACCTTACGAGATCCTTGCTACCTCGCTAAGGCAACCCAGAGTGAATCCTGAAGAGCAAACCAGGCGACTAGCCACCCGCGAGCTTGTATGCTGAGCTTGGCAAGCTAACCGAGTGGATTTAAGCATCCAGCGTTCGTGAACAATCTAGCTCACAAGCGAACTTCAGCCCCCGTGGCTTGGGACTCAATGAACGCGATGGGTTCCGGCGGATCCGGGTTCCGGCGATTCAGGATTGCCCTGTTTGGAATTCGCTCGGAGAATGCATGCGTTGAGGCCTTGTCGAACACTGGTGTGTCTGGAGTTCAGGGGACGTTTCTTCAGCTCTTGTCCCGGTATTAGACGGTTGCGCACAGAAGCTGTGTTGATGGGAGAAAACCGCAAGGGAAATGGACATCGCCATTGGCGGCCCTCCCGCCGTTTGTGGTTTGACAGACATGAAGATGGGTTGCAAAAGGATGCAAAAGGTCTCCAACGCCAGCTTGCGCCCCTCAACGCCTTTGACCCTCCCAGGTGAATAAGACCAACCGCACCTCCTTTGTCCGTGAGGAGCACTTGCCCGAGAGTCAAAGCGGTGAGCGAATTCTGCGAGCGTAGGTATTGTTCTTCAAAGGATTCCTAGGGCTTGCAGGGACTGTGTTGTTTCAGCATGTTACAAGGTGATTGGGGAAGTTCACGGAGTTGACACGCAAACACACACACACACACACAAAATACGATGATACTGATGATTATTATTATGATTATCATCATTATTATTTATTATTAATATGTTTTATTGTTATTATTATTTTAATTATTATTATTATTATTATTATGTTATATTGTTATTATTATTATGTTTTATTGTTATTATTATTATGATGATGATGATGCTGATGCTGATGCTGATGCTGATGCTGATGCTGATGATGATGATGATGATGATGATGATGATGATGATGATGATGATGATGATGATGATTATGATTATGATGATGATGGTGGTGGTGATGATGGTGATGGTGATGGTGATGGTGATGGTGATGGTGATGGTGATGATGATGATGATTATGATGATGATGATGAAGAAGAAGAAGAGACACATGATGATGATGATGATGATGATGATGATGATGATGATGATGATGATGATGATGATGATGATGATGATGATGATGATGATGATGATGATGATGATGATGATGATGATGATGATGATGATGATGATGATGATGATGATGATGATGATGATATATATATATATATGTACATACACACCTTGTATAGCATACATATACATGTATTTACGCCGGAATTTGAGCACATGAAGCGCTTCAAGCGTATAGCGTGCTGCAATGTCCCACAGTTTGGCGCATGTCCATTTGTGCGGGAAGATTCTGTGAACGACTTCCTTTACCAGAAAACTTGTGGATGCTCATCCTTTCGTTACGTTTTCAGGCTGGTTGCTTTGATTTTAGATCTGTATCCTTGGGAAACCAAAACGAGCAACTCTTGGAAGCCGTTGTGGAACTTCCAGAGAGGCACTTGATTGAGTATAGTGCCATTCCTGGTAGCTTGAAGTTTTGAAAGTATGCCTCCCGGCCTCGGTTGGATGGATTTATCGAGCCACTGCAAGACTCATCGCAAGGGTTAGTCAGCTTGCGCCGGTGCCATGCGTCTTGCTCTTGTCCTTGTTGGGAGGAAGCTTAGCACAAGAATGGGGCTGGAGTTTAGCAGCTTGCGTTTTTTTTGTAGCATTCCGCCGCAAAGGCAACATGTTGGGCAGGAGTTTGATCAGTCTACAGTGTTTTTGTTTCGTTGATCCAGCAAGGGAGCGCCAATTATTCCGCAGGGGAAGGCACACCCTGAGGAGGAAACGCTTCCTATCGACTTTGCGCTGCAGTTCGCGACGGCGCTCGGCAATGCTGCCTTAAGACGTCAGACGGAGGCGTGCACGAGCAACGGCTGGAGAGGAAGGTGAAGAGCACTCTCGCCAATGGACGTTGGCCAATGGATTCACTTGGTATACAAATTAGTATAAAGAGTTATTGTTAGAGGCAGGCCTCAACCAGTATGCATTCTAAAGCCGCTGAGTCGCCGACGAGGATAAACCTGTCAGCAATTCTTAGGTTGAGCGCGACACACACAGTCGTCGAACTTGTTGCGGATTATTTGTCATATTTCTGTGCGCAGGCCAAATTGGTGGGATGCATGTCCTTAGTGTTTGCCTGTTGATTTTGCGCCACGAACAAGTGGTACGATCCACGCTTGCCAGCTTGTTCAAATAGAACAGACTGTTTTAGCCAGTCCTACCTTCCCCCCCCATTGCCTTTCCCTTCCCCACAATAACAAACACGCCCGCCTGTCAGTTTTTCTGGCTTGAGAGGCTTTTGCATTTGCCTCCGCACCGCAATTGGCTCAACTCAACAGGAGCTCCTTTTGCCATGGGCCTCATCTTGAGGCATTGAGGATCCGCCGTAGGGCGGAACTACGTAAAGCACGCTCAGATCACTGAGCGCAGAGACAGAGGAAAAAGAGAGTGGCAGCTTGCCAGTGACACTGGTAGCGTCCAGACAGGCCTCCGGTGCAGATGAATGACACGCGAGATGTGGCGGGATGGCGATCCTGCAGGGTGGCAGGGCTATGCTATGTGAGAAGAGTGCGCCTGGCCTAGGAACGCACAAGGAAGCGACGCCGGCGACACCTTGGGCCTGAACTAGCTGCCCAGCTGCGTGGACGAGCATGGATGATCACTCAGGAGTTGGACCACTTCAAGCTGACGCAGCCGATGGAGCCTGGGAGAAGGTGGAGAAGAACCGGAGGAGGACAATGAAGAGGATGATGTCGGTGACTTCAGAGAGGCATCTCCTCTGGAATCGCTGGCAAAGAAATCCAACGGCAAGAAGCAGGTGAAGCCCGTGAAGGAGGTCTTTCACGCCATGCCCAGGTCGAGAACTTCTGGAACAAAGAGGAAGATGTGTCCTACACATACCGGACCCGAGTACCGTTACCCGGACAGCGACGGAGCCTTTTGGGCAGCGAGGCGCAGCGGCGTTGGATCAGAAGATTCGCACCGTTCAGGAATCTTGCCAACTGATGGCTTCTACCCGAAGGGCAAGAGCAGGCGCAAGGGAAATGCCCAGGCTGACACAGATTACCAGCACTCACTTTAGCATTGCCAATTCTACTTTACAGTTGCCAAGGCCGACTCTCAGATTCCCAACGCTTACTTTTCATTGCCACTTCTACTTTAGTAGTATTGGGATTTTTCCCGGCATTTTTTCGGAAAAATGCTGCAAATTGAGGACCCCAAAGCAGTCACAAGATCCAGAATTGCGAACTAAAAATGCTATAATAGAGGGTGCTATTGATAAAGGAGGTGCAACATTGGATGCGTTCACTTTGGATGCATTTCCAGTACCGGTGCTCATCGGCGTAGGCTGCCTCTCGGACGGTTCAGTTCTTGGCTTCCCGCATGCAAAGATCCATTTCCCGGCGAAGATCCCCAACTGTTGCTTCATGATGTTCAGCAGAAACGTGGATCAGCTCGCTCGGTCCGCGCAGAAGTCCTCCCATAGTCGACCTCTGCAGCACTTCTGGGTCGCACTTGATCCTCTCGGGGATGCCGATGATCTGAACCCAGCAGCGATGCTGCAGGATCTCTTCCACCACTCAAAAGCCAGATGCTTCGTCCAAGAAGAGCAAGTAGTGATGCGCCAAGATGCGCCGTGTTGCAACAGGATCTCTTCCTTCTCGAGATTGACCTTAGCCCCGGCTTCCTTGCGCATGCAACAGTCATTGCATTCAGGATGCGCTCATCCCGTGATATGTTTCAATCACCCCACAGTAAGGCGAACCTTTTGCAGTTAGGGACATGATTCCAACGTGTGCGTCAATGTGTGCTGAATGTTGTTTATGATACGTCAATGTGTGCTGAATGTTGTTTATGACACGACAGGTTCTACACATCGCGGACAGATGCAGGGTCCAACGCATATACAGATGAATACTTCTGACACGTTCACCATGCAACTTATCCCTGACCAGTCAGCGGGACTGTCCACAATCTAGTATGGTTGTTGCTTCAGTTACTTCGCCACGGCCCGTCAGGCTCTGAATTACTTTGCTGAGACGTCCCGATGACCCTTGGCATTGATAAAGGGCTTTGGATGCACCTGGCGATGTGTTTTCTGTATTCCAAGCAAAGCTTTCTCAGGGACACAGCATTTGTTCAGGATGAAACTTGTCTATACAGACATCATAGCAGTCCCAGCATGCTGATGGGCGTCAGCCCTTGCTTCTCACGTTGCTCTCTCTCTCGAGTCAAAATACTCTGCATCCTGGGATCCAAGATGAACGATTGGAACCTGTTTGCTCAATGGCGGTCGGTGCTTTGCTGGCCTTAGTAGCCTTATCCACTTTAGGAGAACCAACTGTGCGAGCTTCAACCGATATGATACGCGATGTCCTGGGGGTCAAAAGGTTCGCAGGATTGTAGCGGTTATGTCCTGAAGCGTTGTTGTCCCGAGGGCTTGAAGACTTAGGATTTGGTTGATCGAGTCCTGCTTTGGTGGCTTTCTGGACTGCCATTCATTCTCCAGGTGTTTCCCATTGAACCCAAGGTGAGCCACAATCAAAACCCGGGTAGATGAAGGTTAGCAAGGGACAATGCCAACCATAAATAGCTGCGGCCGTGGCGGCCGCCTTCTGAATTCTATGGTTCTGGGTAGACCATTTCAATACCGGATTTTGATTATGAGTCAGGTGTCTCCCATTGAACCCACTTCAGTTGCAAAACCCAGGCATCGACGTGGCCTCCAAGCCTGCAGAGCTGCCGAGCAGCGCCTTCGGAGAATGGACCAAGGCCGGGTCACTTTTTTGGGGCTTACCGGCGGGTTTTGTTGGAACCAAAGGGAAGGCCATTTGAGCCACCAGGGTAGAAGGCTTCGGGATAACCAGAAAGGGTGCCGCCGCCAGTTAATTCTTTACATGGTTCTGGGTAGACCACTTTAATACCTAGTTTTGACAGTGACTCATTTGTTGTCTCCTAACTTTTGAAAAACACCATACTTGGGAAATACAATGGCCAGTATGTATTTTTGGGGCAGCTAAATCAGTGCATTGTGCATCTTTGACGCTTTTGTTTCTGCATATGGGCTGGAACCGCTACTACTCTTTTACGAAGAACTTGTTGCTTGCTTGCTTGCTTGCTTGCTTGCTTGCTTGCTTGCTTGCTTGCTTGCTTGTTTGCTTGTTTGCTTGGTTGCTTGGTTGCTTGGTTGCTTGGTTGCTTGGTTGCTTGGTTGCTTGGTTGGTCGGTTGGTTGGTTGGTCGGTTGGTTGGTTGGCAGGCTGCGCCAGCCTTATACTTGGACAATTGGCGCGAATTTGGTGGCTGTTGGGACTTGCTTGGGCTAGTTTAATTGCGGTGGGTTTTAGGCTGATTGGAGCTGATTTGTGCTGGGAGCAGGTTTAGCAGCGGGTTTTGTGTTGCTGTGGGGTGTCGTTAACTGGTTAAGGAGTGTTGCCCCAACCCCCCCAACTTTGACGCAACCACATCCTAAAGCAATCCCGAAGCCACAGCTGAAGCAGCCACACGTCCAGTACAGCTGCATGGTTGACCAATAAACAGACATTCCTTTTCATGGCTCGGCGCAAGGCAGTGAGGAGCTTGCAAGACTTGGGTTTAAGCATGGCCATGTTTTTAGGCAGTCGGTCGTGTCAGCAGTAAACATTATTGTACAGATCTCTCGTCAGGAAGCAAATGCTTTGAAGAGCATTTGACATCATTTGACAAGCCAATTCGGCGAGACTATTTGACGGTCAAGTGTCTGTCAACATGGTACTGTGGGGCTTCATGTTTAGCAAATGTTTAAAAGCAAAACTTGGCAAAGGCCCAAAGGCCAAAGTTACTGTTTGTTCCACGCGGGTGTGGGTGTGGTGGCCATTCGCTTTGACTGGGCACGGCCCAGGGGAATCTGGCGGGCAAAAGCATCCAAGACATCCGGGAGAGACTTGGCCAGGCGCACCGACCAGTCGCCGTCTCAAACCAGACCTTCTGCATCTTGTTTCAATTAAAACAAAGGGCTTCCCTTTTGAAGCCCCTTGGCTTTTGACCCCTCAAGGCTTTGTGAATCATAGCCAATCGAAGAAGAAAAAAAAAGGGGGGGAAAAACACACACACTTTGTGAAGCCCATTCAGCTCACCACTGCTTTCGGCTCAATCAGCCGCTAGCGCGCACTCGAAGTTGACAGATGGAGAATGGGCACATACTTTGCACCGGTGGGGGGAAGTGTCGAGTCATTCTTGACCGGTTTCGGAAGTTACCCGCCTTCCCCGGTGTCCGACACACGCAAGTTATGAAGCCCTCCAGGAGAAATCTACTCGCTTCGGCGCCGATCTCTTCCTTGAGGAGGCGCGCAGAAGAATTCGCTGAGGTTTTTAAGCCCTTTATGTTCCTCTTCCGCGTTCTCCCGTGTTCCACTTCTCCCAGGAGGCATGGACCAGAAATAAAGAATCCCGGGGCTGCTTCTGTGCGGGGTCACAGTGGTCAAGAGGGTCGTCTCTGGAGGGATTCTGAATCCGGAGGTATATCATAAACGTTCCGCTCTGGGGCCATGCTTGGAAGTGTACATGGCCACCCTAGCCTTCCAGGGGCCGAGCGTATCAGGTTCTAACGTTCTATGAATGTTTTGGCAACTCCATGGCAACTTGCGTTGGGTCCGGGGATCCAACACTTGCATCAGCAACAGGTGGGGATCCTGGGATCCACTTCGGTTTGAGTTTTGGTTCAGCGGATTAATGAATTATTCCTTCGGTATCTTCCAGGCCTCTCCACACGGAACCTGGAAAATCGGTCTGCGCGCTTTGCGCGAAGCATTTCACGAAGTATCCCCAGGCTTGGCGGCATCAACCCGAGCACAAGTATGGCTTTAGGGCAATGAATCAGCGCTGGAATTGGCCAGCTGCAAGTTGTGATTGCTATTACCAACGCAGGGCAATTCGAGCTATTCAACTCACACATTTTGCACCCTGTGCATGAATCAACCCATGGAGCTTGCAGTACATTGCGAGGCAGTAAAGAGTGCTTGCTTGAGGCCCAGGAGTTTTTGAGGTGCGGATACGTGGCTTGATCTTGGCTCCTGGGAGGTATGGTTCACAGCTCTCAGATCGGAAAGAGCCACACACACACATGCAAGGTGTGCGCATAGCATGGATGGAGCAAGCACTGGTGTGATACTGATACAGATTGGGACGTTATGAGCTTGTGTTTCTGTGCCGTTTGACAGGAGGGGCCAGAACCATGCTTAATATCCCAGGTGCCCAGTGGCGCCCTTGTTCCCTTTTTGTGGGGGGAAGGGTTCTCTTAAACTCAACCAACCAAAAAGGGATGCCCTGTTTTTCCATGTCCACTTGGCATCTAAGATATGTTGAGGCCCAGACTCTGGGCGCTTGTTTTTTGCGCGCTAGCAGACGCAGGCGTGTCGAGTTTCGCCCACCACTGACTTCAGCGTACCTCCAGAAGGAAGGCACGACGAACCACGGGAATTTGGCCCATGCAGGGAAGCGGGTCGGGGACGAGAAACGACAAGCTGAGTTCCCATAGGTGTCCTTTTTGGTTCTTTGGGTGGAAAAATAGATGCCGATTCCTGGTTTCCCTGGTGGTTTAATCATCTACCAGGGCCATCAATTTCCCCCAAAAGGACACCTATGTGAGTTCGGGGCATGCATTGCCCATACGGCTTCTCGGTGGCCTTGTTTGTTGTTGCAGAAAGGTGCAAGCGACCACGTGTTTGGCCAGCTGTCAGCTGCATTGGACAACTTGAACCATGGGTGATGGCTAGTCAGTGGCATGGCTTGCTGCCTTACAACCTTAGTTGAATGTTTTTTTTTGTTTTTTTTCCCGGTAGCGCTTTCTCTAAACGCAAGCTCAGCCTGCTTCGATTGATGCACTGCTGGGCATGTTGGAGGCAGACTCGGCATAAACGACGTGCAACACGTAGCACATGCCTTATTTTTACTTACCTGTACGTACGGCCTTAACTATCATAATCACAAAACACCCTTTAGGCCCAGAAGTAGGATTTCATGGCAGCAACAAATGTAGGTTACTTGTTGATTGGTATTGCTTTGCACCACTCATACCACTCAAAGGCTGGGCGAATAGGCGCTCTAGTGACAGGAAGGCGCAGGTACTGTTGGCCAAGCTGGCACACTGAGTGCTGCACAGCAGCAATGACTTGCTGCGCGTTGCACATGCATTTGCTGAGATGGCAACAGCACCTGCAAAGGGCCAAGTAGCTCTTTGTGTACATGGTGGTCCGTTCGACAGTTCAGAAACCCAGTCATGTACGTGTCCAGCAGGTCTGAGATTGGGTGTTAGGGAGAGCGCCGAGTGTTTGAACGTTGATTTCATCGATCATATTCCTTTTCAAAGTTTGCTGGTCGCCATGCTGGGCCATTTGCATACATTGACATGAATGCAACGGTATTTGCAACATGTAGTTGGACAATGAGTCATCTCCCAAGCGATGAAGTCGATTTTGGACAAATGCCTCATGATGTTCATTGAGCTGAAACCAGTGTACAAGGTCCGAGTGGTTCTCGCCGATTTGCGTTCAGGCTGGACCTTTTGCGAGAGCCACGGCCAGAGTGCGAGCGGGTGGTCTTGCACAACGCCATGCTCACTATGTTCCCCAGCTTCTCGATGGCTGCACTGAAGCTGGGCTGAAGGATCAGCTCAAGGGAATGCGTTCGGTTTGGCTTTGAGAAGGAAGTCAACAAGGGGAATGAGACCTCAACAGTTTTCTGTTCACGCCGCCAGCACGTTTGCTCCACTTGATGAGCTTGCTTGTGAAGATTCATGTACACGGAGGTTCTTGCACTGTTCTGAAATTTGGTACAAGTACCAAACTATTGCATTTCATAAACACCACTCTGCATGGCTTAGAGAGTCATGCATCTCCCGCAGCAATTTGTAGCAAATCTAGTTGTACCATGCTGGCCGGTATTGACTAACAACAGACCATATCATTGAGTTAGTTGGCAGCAGGTCGGTGTTGGTGTACAGCCAGCACAGCTGTACAATCAACCATGTGATGACTCCAAGTTGCATTGATACAGCCCTGTCCCAGAGAATAAGCAACACATGGTCTGTCGCCAAGCTGAACTCGTAAACCTGCAGCTGCTCGTGTTTGTTGCCAGCGTTTGTGTAGTTAGGATCATTAAGCTTCGAACATGTTTGCAAGGATTCCTATCAAGGCGGCTATGGCCGGTGACCAAACATTGCGGAAGGACAAACATGATTGCAATCATGCCTTCTTGATTCGCGAACCCGAGGTAGGTGTGCTTATGGGAATCCACATGCACAGTGCATGTCCTGACGGATTCCCTCTTAGCAGCGCTACTGTATAATTTCCTGAACAAGTTATCAGTGATTTTAGAGAGGGTCGCTAGCCCTTTCAATTGTGTGTTGCTCAAGCAGAACAACACGCATTCCTGCAAGATGCCTGTCTGTGACATTAGTTCCACACAGGCTGATGTGCGGATTTCGAGTCTACTATCGCCTGTGCATATCGTGAAGCCTGTTTTGCCACAGCGGCGAAGAACATGCTTACTATTCATTAGTACCAGGGCATTGGCAAAGCAATGAATGTTTCGGTAGTAACATGCGCAGCGCTAGCAACAACCTCACATCTGTTTGCCAATAGTTGTCTAGTCTTTGCTGGTTAGACCAACTTTGCAGGAGGTCTGCTTCTTTTCAATAGTGCGCCGATCGGATCCTTCTGGATTTGTTTGACGTTTGCTTCTGTCCCCTGCTCAAACAGTTTGCTTGGACCCTGGAGTGCAGACTGCAAAGTGCCGGAACATCCCTCCGCTTTCCATTCCAGCTGTGCTCAGGGATCTCTACCATCGCTTCGAGCGTCTTGGGATGCAAGAGGAGATGCCAACAGAGCAGAGCTGTACCACTTTTGGCACCAAGTTGTAGGCTGCCATTGCCTTCTTTTCCCACATTCGGCCAAATTCCTTTTGACACGAGCGGATGTTTACGAGACATATGCCTGTTTCAAGGGGCCCTCGCTGGGATCCAGATGTCCAAAGGCTTTGAGCATCCCTTGGAATTTGGATCCCGGTTGGAGGCTCACTCTAGGGTTTCAAGCTCGCAACTTGCGAGGCGCGAGCTACAGGACTTGGCGGAGAACCCCACCCAGGCCGACGCAGAGATTGCGAGCAATTTCCAAGCTGTAGGACATCGATGTTGAACCCCTATTAATCAACCCCAGTTTCTCCTAAGGGGGTGTTCAATTCCGGGTTTGGTGGGGAACAGACCACTTTTGGAGAGGAACCCACCCCCATATGAATAAAGCGGGGGGTGATTAATATGGGTCAACATTACGGGGAAAGAAAGATGTCAGTTCCCCCCCCGCATTTTGTTCGTTCTTGGTTATGTGTTCATCCTCTCCATGGAGCTTCTAAATGTTTTTTCAGTTGGTATCTCTGCTGGTAGTTGGTTGGTTGATTTGCAGACCCTATGGACAGCTTGGTTCATGTGCAAGTGTCAAATGCATGTGTGCTTTCATGTTCCTGGATTTTGTCCATGCTTTTTGGGCTTGGGGTACCTCTGAGTTTTCTTGTTTGAGGCATTGAACAGGGCAATCCATTGGATGCAATATACATAACATTAATATCAACGAAGTGCATGAATGAATAACTACACAAGCATACTTGGGCATGTGTGCATGTACATGTGCCAATCATGTTGATGCCACCAATCTTGAAGGTCTCTACAGTAGCTTGTTTGCGAGCACACACATGTTACATTGGCCAAGAAATGCTTCCAGCCACTTGATGAATTTCTGCCTGTGTTTTGCGCGCCCTCGCCTACGGCCCAGTAATGCTCGTTACATTGAACAGGGCTCCTTAAAATGTATATATATATTTTTGCCCATTGAAAACATGGCTTTTTCCACCAAAACAAATAGCAACCACCATTTTATGTTCAGGTGTATAATGTAAGGATCCCTGTTTCACTCCGCAAAACCTGGGGAGTGAGTGTTGTTCGATCACTGGCAGGCCATGGTGAACATGATGCTGGTGGAGTTGCAGCTCTTCATGAGGCGGTTCGGAAGTTCGGAGTCCATGCACCAGTCTGTTTGTTTGTTTTGTTATGCTTGATGCTCGGTGAATGCAATATGTGGGAGAAGCAGATGATGGGTCAACGTTGACCTTGCCTTGCCTAGATCTAGAACAGCATCCTGCAAGTTCGGCATGAATGTTAAGGGATTCCCGGCCTTCAGCTAGTGACCTGTCAGCAACAGTTCCAACGTATGCTGTCTGACAGTAGGGCAACCTAATGACTCAACATGGCGTGCTTGATTCTTTGATTCGGCTTCGCCGAAGGGTTGGATTTATGTGCTTTAACTGATGCCGAGAGTTGGAACCAGGCACCTTGGAATCAGGCACCAGCGACTTCTCTGCTTTGCGAAGGCTTGAATATTGCTGGTTTAGTTGCTCATTTATTGACATTTGCGTATTGTAGCTTACTTTGAGAGCAATCCATGAATAGTGGAGGGAAGTGACCTTAAGAGACATCCAACTCCAACATTGCAAAGAAGCCTGACACACCGATCTGGCATTTTTGTGGGTTTTACGAGGAAGTCAACTTCAGCAAGCAGTGGTTGAATCCTCATTATGCTCATTTAATTCAGGCTGGCCGAGTGGAGTTGGTTTGGGCCGCTGCATTTGCCCCATCCAAGCCCCGAATTTGCGGGACAGCGATGGATGCTCGTATTGACAGGAAGATGGCTTACGCGAGCAAGCTCATGCGCATGGACGACGACTTGTACGAAGCCCTTTCCTATCGAAAGGAGCGGTCACGGTCCTCAGCGAGCGCGGAGAAGGCCAAGTAAACCTGTTCCATGGACATTCCATGGAGCAATTTTCTTGAAAGAGCGTGTTCTTCAGCCTCTCTGCAGACTTCCATTGGAAGCAACTGTATTTTGCTGAGCATAGCTATCCTGCGCTATGATGCGTAGTTAGCCAGGTCGCAGGGCGGTCACAATGCTGGTTTCTGCCTCTGCAGCATATGCGCTTCAATACCCCCAGTAAAGTGGCAGAGACAAATGGTGTCATTGGGCGAACAAAGTGCCTCAGCACAAGGGTGAGATTTCATAGGCTCCGCTTGCCTGTAACAGGAGGCTGGACATCCCGTTTGCTGGTCTCGTGGCTTATGTCCGATGGCTTGAATCCAAAGATGATTGGGGGAGCCATATCAAGCCATAATCCACATTTCTGCTTGCCGATTTGCAGAGGTTGCCAGCAATGGCATCAAAGCGTATGTGATTTCTGGAGATGCGACACTTATTGTTGTTCTTGTTGGGGGACCCCCTTGGAAGAAGGGCTCCCGTATCTTGTTCTAAGTGATTCCTCTTTTTAGCGCGTTTCTGGGCGGAAATAAGAGTTTCGGCAGCTTTGCCACTTGCGAGGAGCTTGAATCTTGATCTGGTTTGACTAAGCTTCCAAAGGAAATACACCCAACATGTCTCATGCCAACACTTCTGATTCGTGTATAGCAGTCTTCACAGTAGGACCTGCCATCTAAAAATAATCGAATTGATGGAACTGGCCTCTTATGCAGGTGCATAAATTCACCCGCCGCGGGCCCCCCCTGGCACTGATTCACTGATTTAGCATCATAATTATTGCGAAGTCACCAGGTCACACAATCTCAAGTTGAATCTGCCTTCGGATTCCTCAATGCAGGCTGGGTTTTCGGCGCGACGGGTTTCATCTCTTGCCCCAAATCCCCCCGCCTTTCGGAGGACGGCGGTTTGGTGGGCCGTCTTTGGTCCAATCTGCCCAGCGCTTTGACGGAGATCGCTGCCACCCTGCAGATGCGCCAGGAGTCCAGGCGCCATGGGCGGGGTCATTGGGGCGGAAAAGGAGTTGAGGGTATACTAAGAGACACTACATGAATAATAGGGGAATACAGGATGCTGAATACTGGAACAATGCTAGGGAATCACCAAAGAAGTTCTTGGATAATATTGAGGGAATATTAGAAGAGTACTGAGCGAATACTAGGGATATACCAAGAGAATGCTAAAGGAGTATTAGGGCAATATTAGCGGAATACTTGGATAGTACTAGGGGACTACCGAGGGAATACTTGCAGGCATTGCAGATGGAATCCTTGGAGAATACTGCAGTGGATGGCCTCAAACACAGCACCTGTGAGTAAAAGTGCATCCATCCATGCCAAGGCGTAAAAAAGGCTGATTGCAAGAACGCAGGCCCCACGGCGGCCCGCTCTCTTTTTTAAGCGCTCCAAAAGATGTTGGCTTGTGCCGCAAATATGCACTTTCAGACCGGTTTAAAGCGCAACACATGATGGCAAGTTGCGCGGCATCTAGTTTGACTATTTGGAATTGGACAATTGAATAGCATCCCCGAACACAGCATGCCCTGAAGAGATAGTACCACGATCTTTCTCCCTGTCTTGCATATGTGACTCATTTGCCTTCCTTTGTGCTGGTATGTGTCTTATGGTTGTCCTCCTTTGGCTCCACTCATTTGCGGGTTGTAAGTTGTTCTACCGCATGTGGCTCCACTCATCACGTGTGGTTGCCATTTATGATGCCCGGAGGTTCGGCACGACGCTCAGTTGATGTGCATTTGGCATGTGATGACTGAGGATGCTTCATGGTCTGGGTCCCCCAGTAGTGCCCGCTTACCCTTTTTTGGGGAAGGCTTCCCCTACTAAAATAGACTACAGACAAAAACAGGTACCCTTATTCTACCCGCTCTACTGGAGGACCTAGTGGTGGTGGGGATATTTTCATGATTCAAACATGAGACACTATTCGCGAATGGGGCAATCGTCGTCTCAGATGGCACACTGCCAGCATATCGGCCTATTTATATCGAGCTCACTTAGGGTGAGCGCATATGCTGCGGGTCCTTCACTTGGAGATCCCGTTCTGGTTTGTGAATTATTGTAGAATTTGCAGATCATATGATCGCGCGTATAATGTCTGAGTCGAAGGCATACACACACAGACACACATACACAGATCAATCTCTCTAGCACGTTCATTGCAAGCAAGTTGTAAGCATTGTATGGCTTCACTTGGGTCTTTAGACCGCCGTAGCGGTCTGGCTTCACATGCGCACTAGGGTCAGAGCAATAGTGTTTGATATGCTCCCACGTTGCAAGCACCACGGGTGGAAGGCTAGCATTGGGATATCGGGCATTTTCGATTTTCATGCTGACTCTTTGGTGCATTTGCTTGGACGTTAGGACTTTAACTTTTTGCCAACTAATGGGTTTTCCATTTGACCACTAAAAGTAAAACTTTTAGCAGGGGGGCAGAAAGCAGCCGAGAAATGTGGCGCAGGAAGATGTGGATCACCGAGAGCATTGCCTTCAGGAGCAAGCTGAAGAAAGCTCGGCGCTTGCGCGTACGCGAGGTCCAGGCCAACAACACCCAGATTCCTTCCGCAGTGGAAGGCCGGCGGCGCCCTTTTTCCAACTTGTTTTTGGTTGAAAGGGTTGCGATTCCTTTAAAAGTCAACCAACCAAAAAAACTCCCATGGAAACCCACTGGGCATTTGAGGCATCACTTCTGATTTTGTAAACGCAGTTTTGAGTAGTTGCCAACTTGGATTCTGACATTGTCTCTCTAGTTTTAAATGAGAGTCAGCACCCACGGTACAGACTATCAATCAAGGGGTGGCACACAGACACAGCCAGAATTGTTCAAATGGGGCGAGGAGGGGGAGAAGGGAAGCAAAGAGTGTGTGTGACAGTCTATGAGGTCAGTGTCGCAAATGCATGGTTCCGGCGGGTGACAATTTTGATTCTACACTTTGCATACAAGCGGCTTTGTCGTGTCTGGCGAACGTTTTTGTCGCATGTCTGTGATCCCGGAGGCAATGGTATCCTAATCGGCCTAAAGGGGCTGCAGAACAACTTGGTGTCATGTCCACTCGGCACATTTGACACATCTGAAATGATTGACCATGGCGAGTCTATGCACTGCTGAAAGCAACACATGTTAGGCTGTAAGGTCCAGCCTAGCAGATGTTTCAGAGCTTACACGGTTCAATGTACAGAAACAAGCAAAAAACTCTCAGTCGCATTCCACTCAGCCCCAGGCTGTGTTTGCTCAGAAAGTTGGAGCGTCTACATCTGGAAGAAGTTGCGGCCACGGCATTTGACCTTCAGAGGCGAGCCGTGCAGTGGGATCCCAAGAGCGAATCATGTTGCACTCACCACTGGTTTTTGCACTTAGATCTCAGTGATTTTCTTACTCGGCCAAACTTCTAGTCGAGTGGTTGTTTGCAACATGGCAAGTTTCTTTTTTCCGAGTCTCTTCTACACAATGTTGCAATGGGCATCCTGTAGCAAACATGGCCGATATGTGTCTCAGGCGGGGATTGCTCAGGTCCAAAGATAAACCTACCTTCCAGTCAAGTCAACTCCCTTTGACTAAAGGTTCGCATGAGAGACGTGAGCTGAACTCAGGAGTTCGCCGGGCTTAGGAGTGCCCCAACTTGCCGTTTTGGATGCTTCGATTTCACTTTGGTACCATGGCAATTCGGCTTTGGTCCTGCTTTTATAGGGGTTTCAATTGTTGATCTGATTTGGTTCACTCTCAGTCATCGCTCCCCAGCTCCAAAGACTCCCGATTGGAATAAGCACCGCAACTCTTCCTTCCGTTAACCATGTGCCCCGGAGGGGGGAGGGGAGGGGTACAGCTGAAGAATCGTGAAAGCAGGCCCGAAAGGGCTTCAATTTATCCCTGGCCCCTGACACGTCTCCTCGTTTTCACGGGTGCAGTTTTTCCCTTTTCATCCAGCGGACGATGCCCCTCCCCTTGAAATCTCTGTTTCTCCTAGGCCATCCCGCTCAAGTTTGCAGTTGTTCGCCTTGAGCTTCTAAACCTGCCAAGCGCTTCCGACACGTGCGCATGCACGTTTCATCCAGTAGCTGGTGCAGAGACCTTCAGCGGAAAGCTGCGTCACCTGTCCCCGGTTGCCCGTTCACGGCATTTCCTGTTCGCACAGGGGGAAGTAACTAAGTATGGGGGGCCCTTGGATTCGCTTTTGCAGAAGCCCAACCATGTGGCCGGGGGTCAAAACCAATGGTGCCATTTTGGAGGTAGGTGCACCACCCATTTTAGTCTATTTTAATGGTTGGATTGGGTTGTCTGGGGGCAAGCGGGGGTTTTGACCCATGGCCATGCATGCATCGAAGACCGCACTCTCAAAGTGCCGCAGGCTGTGTAGAGGACAGGGACAAGCTAGGGGAAGAGCTGCGGGTGAACACAAGCAGCTCCTTGTGCGGCATGTCGATCATACTGTGGATGGACAAAATCCTGCACCACCTAAGAAACCCTGGAGTGAATGATTCTCCTGTAAATACCAACAAACAATGGCTTCAACCGTGGTTTCAAAGTGGCGCGAAATGGATTTTGTCCCTCCACAGTAGCTGTTGCGACTTTAGCTCACACAAGTTGCCGATTTTCGTGGGGAACATTGGCTGTTACAGTATGAATGTTGAAGGGTTTCCATTCATGCTGTAACAGCCTGATGCTACCAGAGTTGCTGTGACAAACTGAGTTTGCGGTTTTATCCCCGCATCCAGATGTGTCGAGTCAACCCGCGGATATGATGACCATGACTCAGTTTCCTTGCCTCTAGATAGGAGGGGGGGGCGTGGGGGCGTGCCAGATTGCACTTTTAAAGTTTCCATCGTGAAATCAATCGTGAAAGGCCTTTGATTGGAGCGTCAAGGGGCTGAGACAATCAATGACAACTGATGTGTTTTGGATATTATTGATGCTGGTATTCTTGAGGTTGTTGACGTTCTTTCTGGTTTGCTTTGCTTTTCCGCTACCTCGAGTTGTTGTCCTTTTGAAAGGTTACAGTGAGTTCATCGTGCATTTTCAAGGCTCCACTTGTCACGCAGCCCAACCGCTGTTTTTATCTTGGTTACTTGTCCTTTGGCTGCGTCAGGGTGGGTCTGTTGACGCAAGGTGTGGGTGGTTAAGTCTCAACCCATGATTCATTCGCCCAGCAGCAATAGATTGAATTCCGTGCATTTGCCGACGGAAGACGCAGAAGCTTTACACCTTGCCTAGACGGGATATCGGGTCGTTCGGGGGGAAGCTGCGAATCTTGAACCCCTGCTCTTGTATGCTTTGGCACATTGTCTTACCGGCTTCCCTACATGTTGGCTCTTTCGGCTGTTGACAACGGGTCGTGAGGATTTGTTTGTGGATACTGGTGAACTTGCACGCCCTGGTGGAATACCTGTCGTTTAATCCTGTGACTGTGGCAGACTTCTAACTTGTTTGTTGTACAATCCAGACTATTGACTGTTCCTTATTTGCGGAATGCTGGTTATGTTTTTTGTTTGATTGTCAGCATGGGGCTTGAAATACAATGCTAAATGTCAACAAGTCCTTATACTCGATTTCGGTGTTTAGCGCTGTCCGCGCGGTGCGCGGAGGTTTACAGGGCCTCTGCGAAGTGAAGCAGGAGCGATCAACGAACCGGCGCTTCCCGTGGTAAGTTGTGGTCGGGTGGGTGATTTTTTCTTGGTCAATGGAGCGATGGTAAAGCAAACTTTCTCAGGAATGGTCATGTCATGAAAGCGAGTGATCCTCGAATTGCATGGACAGCCTGAGTCGGACGCATTTGATGGTTTCTAGAACTTGGGTGAAATAGAATGTGGGTTAGTGAGTAAAGGAGGGCACCCCGCAACCCAGTTGGGTGTCAATAGAGGAAAACCTAAAAGCAAAGTGTTTTCGGGGTCAGAGTTGGGCCTCAAGTCTCGAGGTGTCTACTGCTCAGCTCTTCGGTCCTCTTCGGTCTTCGTTCCTCTTCGGTCATATCTGCCTAGTGGTTTGAGGATTCCTGTGAGCTGGCGTACTGTTTAGAAGTGGTTTAGTATTGAGTTAGTATTGGTTTTCTTGGTTGCTCCCAGCCATCCCCTTAGCTTTTTAGCCTTTTAATGTTTAGTGGCAGTGGTAGTTTCCATTTAACCCACCAACAGTTAGGCTTTTAGCGGGGGATCTGAGGGCAGCCCAGTTTTGTATTTCTTTGTACCGGTTCAGTAGACTTTAGTTGTGGTATGGCATTTGTTCCTGAGTACGGGCGAAGAGAGTTCTATTTTTTCTATTTCCGCACCCTAAACATTTATATGTATACTATATATATATATATAAAATATTTATTTATAATGTTCAGCTTTTTCCCTTGACAATATGTCTGAGCGGCTGTTTTAGTGTAGGGTGTCATACATAATTTGGCTCTTTGGGGCCTTAGTTGGTTTTGCTGGCTCAGGATTGGCTTAGTATCGGGGTTTGATTAATTAGTGTTTGTTTTGTACTGATTGTTTGAGCAGGGCTCCTTAAAAGATACATTTTCCCCATTTGAACATGTTTTTTTTCACCAAAGTAAAGGGACACCACCATTTACAAGGCAATGTTCAGGTGTATAATGTAAGGATCGTTTAGTATTTCCAGGGCTTGGGATATCTTGGGATCGTGTTTTTTTTCACCCCCGGACGAGCAACCATATTTTTCCCACCGGAGAACCAAATCCTTTTCAGGGTGGGGAGTAAGTTTGGGAACATTTTTAACTTAACTCCCCATTGATCATTCGCTATTCGACCTCGCTTGCGGGTAGAATGAATTCACCCTGCACGCAACCATTGATTTTCTGCTGGGATCAGCCATTTTCGCCTGGTCAACACTTGGTTGAGTCTACCCAGACAATGCCGCGCTTCACCCAGATTGCACAATCTCGAGTCCGATAAATCAGGCAGCGGTGCAGTGGCTAGTCTGGACTAGGCAAAGCACTTGTGGCCCACTTCAGACAGATGCCTTCCCGTCCGTTGCAAAGCTGAGGAGTGGTCCACAGCGAAGGGGTGTAGGCGATCGATTCAGCTTTGTCGTTGCCCATTGTTGGGGCTTGATGCAATCAAATTTGACTGAGCTGAGGGAAAGTGTGGCCTGCGCCACCTTTATTCGCCTGAGTTCCGAGCCGTCGCACGGCAGAATTGGTTTCTTCGCTCCGGTAAAATGTGGGTTTGCTCTTGGTGTTCTGCCAGATTGAGATTGGGTGTCCGACGTCCAGGGTCAGCACCCGGCATTTAGCATTGATGGTTTCTGCTTTTGGCACTGTGTGCACTGCCTTCACTAGGAGCTGAACCTGAATACAGGGTATCATGCAAGTCTGCTTGCCAGGACAAGCACGGCTTTGAGCGCTTTGGTCGCAGCACTGGTGGACAGCCAGGTTTCTAGGCCAATGCAGACTCCAGGCATGATCATGCTCAACTCGA